AATTGGAGATGGCTTATTCTTGAAAATGCATTCGTGTCATCATTGTGAAGTGTTCAGTGACTTTGTGCTGGTGATCTTCCTTCTGTGCCATCAGACACATTCTCAACTGGATGCGCGAAAACCAAGTTACGAGCTAATCCCTGGAATAAAGGCAATGGGGACAAAGGTGGAGAACACAAATAGCTCCGTAATCACAGTGATTTTCCTTCCAGGTTCTGCTGCGGTGGGGGGGGGGAGGGTGCATGCCTCTGCGGGCCCCGCTGGGGGCTCCGCGGCCTGCACTTCACGACGAGCGCCCGCTCCTGCCCCTGCCGCCCAGCCTCCACGGGAGGAGGTGACAGAGGGCCACGCCTAGGGCACACACGATCCCCCACAACAAAGGGGGAAAAGAGAATGGGGGATTTTTTTTAATTACAAAACTATCACCTTCCAGTTCCTAGCGGTAAGTTTTAAAAGCTGGATTACACGGATGATTTTCCCAGGAAATACATTTTCGAAGTACAAAGTGACTCGGGTAGAAAGAGGAAATCTAATTAGTCCAATGGCTGGGGTGGGGCGGCAGGAGCAGACAAAAAATATCCAAAGGTTTATCCTTCAACAGGCACCAGGCACGGGCAGCTTCATTGTGTCTCCACCACCGTTCAGGAATAATCTCCACGGCGGAGAGGTGGGAGACCCGCGCTTAGGATCGGGGTCTCCGGACACCAGCTGCTGGGTTCGGATCCCACCTTCCCGTCTTACCAGCAGGGTGAGACCTCGCGCGGGCTATTCAGACGCACTGGGCCTCAGGTTCCTCGTCTGTCCACGAACATGAAAATAGTACCTCATTGACGGCTGGTTTGCAAAATAAAGATCGAACGCACGTGAAACGGGTACAACTGTGACTGCTGCATAGTAAGAACTCGATCCACTTGAATTGTTACCAAGAGATACCTGCTCCCAAACACACAGAGGCGGAAGCATCACAATTCATTCCACACGGTTAGCCAAAAACCAGTGGTGGGGATAACACACTCACGTGCTCGCTGATACGGACATATTATTTCCATTAGGACACAACTGCCCCAAATAAAAGCACCGACAAGCAGAATCCAACACGCCAGGAGCAACTATGGCTCATCTCAGGAATGCAACGTGAGTCAACAGTACAGACAACACGTACAACATTACAGTACAGTGCATTTTATTAAGAGATCAAAAAGAGGCAAATCTCTGGTCATCTCCAAAGACAGGGCAGCTCCCCAAAAAGCACGTGGCAAAAGTGAGTATCCATTACTGGATTTCGAGCCCGTACAACCACGAGACCTTTAGGAAGCAAAGAATAGTAGGACAGCCGGCTAACACTCATGGATCCTAGAGTGGGGGCCCAGCAGACCCAGGCAAACCGTCAGATGGCAAGCCTTTGAGGACTCCCAAGCCAGCCGGCCTCCGTCCCAACCACTCAACGCCACCGTCGTGGCACAAAAGCACGAGAGCAGCCGTGACCCTGTACGTAAACGGGCAGGAGCGGCTGCGTGCCAGTGGAACTTTACTTAGGAAAAGAGGCAACGTGGGCTGGATCTGACCCCCTGGCACTCGTTTGCAGACCCCTGGGCTGGAACTATCCGTGCAGTCAGAAACAAGACAGAGGTGCCTGATTTTATCTTGGACTCCCAATAGACGTAATAATACAAGAAAATATATACGATGTACAAGTACTAGAAAGGCAGAGATAAAACGACAACCATCTGCATAATTATAGGACTGTTTGACCAGAAAAATCCAAACTGGCGAATCAACGGCAAGCCGTTAGAATTCAACGCGGCCGATTTTAAGGTCAGTATATAGCATTTATTAAAACAACACTATATAATTATAACATTTTATGGGGAAAAGGGTGCCGTTTGCGACAGCAATAAAACCCAGGAATAAATCGAGAAGGAGCAAATCTGACATAAAAGAAAACTAGACAAGTTCACTGAGATCCCAATAAGTCAAAAGACCCATTCCTGAGCAGGACTCCGCGGCATACCAATGTCGATTTTCCCAAATGTGCCCATACACTCAGTGCGATCCCAACAAGATTCCTGACAGGACTGGTTTCTTGCAGCTGCCGCTAAACTTTATATGACAGAGAAAATGTACAAGATTAGCTGAGAGGTGTGTTTAAAAGGACACAGAAAAGGAACTGGCGATAAAGCCATCCTAGGCAGTGGATTGTGACACGGGCAGGTCCGCGGGGTCAGGACCCAAAGACTAGAGACAGAACCATATTATTTGTGGGAATTGAAGAAACGCCGACAGTAGCATTTCATGTCAGTAAAGACAGGACACCTTTCGCAGGAAATGATCACGTGCCTCTGCCTGTGCTTCTGAAAAGAAGATGTCACGTCCACCAGCCTGTGTGCCCTCTGCCTTCCGCGGAGCCGGAGAGATGGGAGGGCGGCTCCCACCTGGGTTGTGTGTTTGTGACCACATTGTTGAGAAGCGGGACACTTGAGGGGAGCCTGGACCCTCCGAAGGGGCACAGAAGAGGCTGGGGAGTGGAGACACCACCTGGCCGAGAAGGGAAGCCCGCAGGAGGGGACACACCGGAGGGTATGGGGTACTCACCATGACACAGAGGGACAGCATCAGCCACACCATCTGGGGCGAGGGAGGGAGCGAGAGAAGCCGCGGCCACAGCGGCGGGGCCTTGCCTGAATCCACAGCCACCCTGGGGGTCGGGGTGGGGGTGGGGGGTTGCACCCCAGCTACCGCCCATCAGGCTGAGGGAACACGGGATAAAGGACAGCCCACCCCCTTCTGGTTCTCTTGGGCTGGATCCGATCAGCTCTCTGCAGGTTCTGGAACTCAGCTGGGAACATTCACCGCAGTGGCCAGGTCCAGAGAGTAGTTTGGTCCACGTGGAGTTTCTCTGCCTGCGACCAGCACGAATTCCTGTCTGCACTTCATTCCGAGGAGCCCCCAGACCACCCCACCCCCTATCTGTTTGTGTTTCTGTTGACATTATCATCTAAGGAGGGCCCAGACGGGTCCTTGAAGCCGGCCTTCCAAACATAAATAAGCAGCCTGTTTCAGTAAAACAAATTACGCACTTTTTGACATTTGCCAGTGTTTTGATTCCAGAAAGGCTGTGGACAATTCCCACAGTCCTGGCCCCCAACCCGTGGCCCTGCCGCCCCTGCTCACACTCACGCACCTTCCCACAGTGTCTGCCTCCGGGGGACCTGTCTGTGGGGGGGCTTGCCTCTGGGGGGCCCTGCCTCCAGGAGACCCTGTCTCTGGGGGGCATCCT